GCAAATTTTCTTGCATTTTCGGCATTTGTTTATTTATTTATTTAGTTTATCTTTATACCGGGGTCTTTCCTCGATAGCATAAGGTATAAGTAGATCTTCGAGCGTGAGTTCGAACGCAGTCTGAGCCGTACAAAGGAGTAGAAGGATTATGAGCGCAGGTGGCGCTACGCAATGATGTAATCTGTTCCGTGAGATTAAAACTCCTGATTACATTATTATTTTGATTATTCTCAAGTGAGCTGGTGAAACAACCTTGCATTAATGCTTGGGAACGCTTCACCAGCGCCTCTCTTCCTCTACCTCCATCCACGACTCACTGCTAGCGGTACCTCTGATCATTTGTTGATCACGTAGTTCTAGGTAATAAAGGAGGGAGCGTACGGAGAGAGCGCACTTTCCATCGTAATTCTGATTTTGTCAAAATCATTATTCATTATTCATTGTGTATGATTTATCATTGTTACTAGTACTATCCGGGAGGAGGGATTACACGAATTCGTCGTGAATCTCGCGAAGACCTGAGAAGTTCATCGAGAGCGGCTCGAAGTGAAGCTTTCCGGAAGACACTGCTCGTACTGTCACCGAAGACCCGACCAAGGCGTGAAGATTATCGTGGCGTATGTTTGGACGAGGGCGCGGTCGCGGACGGTGGTCTGGGTGCAGACGATACTGGATGGAGTATCCAGCCGGGGTACAAACCCTGCCACCCACGATTGGAGCCATTCCTACCATGGCGAACTCGACCCCGGCCACAGTACAACAAGCCCCAGCGCCTCAACCTCCTGGCAATCTCCAACTAGCATTGCATCAGCCGTATCCAGCGCCATACCAACCAAGTTACTATCCTCCACCACCGCCTCCGTACGGATGGCAAGGAGCATGGAACACTCCAAGTGTCCCTCCGCAAGTACCTTCGGCGAACGAGTTCCCTGATCCAGGGAATCGAGCCTGGTTCACAAAGGAACACCTGGACTTGATAGAGCGTTGGAAAACGAGGGGGGCGATTGAAGACGCCAAGAAGAAGGACGGTGGAGAATCCAGTGGCACGACGTCAACTCGGACAAACAAGAAGGAGAAGGGGAAGAAGAGTAGTGGGAGCAACATCGATGGAAGCGAGGAGCGGATCAAGGCATGGATCTCAAGTACCTTTGGAACGTCACTCAAGAAGATAAAGGAGATATTAGAGAGACTGGAGGATTCAAAGAAGAAGACAGCCTCTCTAGAGAGCGATTGCAGCAGGAAAAAAAACGGGGAGCAGCGAGAAGAGGAAACGGGCGGTCAGCTTGCCAGCGCTGAGTAAGATGAAGACACGATCGAAGTCGAGAAGTGGAGGGATCAAAGTTAGACAACCACGGATCCTGATCTCCTCCGACGATGAAGATCAGAGGAGAAAGGCTCGAGAGAACTGTACCATCGAGGTAAAACACGAGATGCCGGCGAATGAGGGTGACAAGAAACTGGAAGCGATCCTAAATATTTTAGGATCGCTGGTCCGACAAACCAAAATGAAGGATGGTGAAGGGGACATCCGTGAAAAAGAGAAGCTGGAAGAAGATACAACCACGGATACCGAATCCAAGATTGAGATGGCAAGTGTGAAAGGAAAGGAGGCGTTGGAAGAAGACAAAGAAGAGGAAGAGATCAGTGACGATTCTACCGAAGCCGAAGAGGATGATGGTGAAGAAGAAAAAGGCAAGGAAGGAGACGTCATCAAATATATGAAGGGGAGATTAGATCACTATATGTGCAAGACCCTCAAGGAAGTGAAAGTGCTTTGCACGAAGCGCGGACTGAAGTGCATTCGGAAGGACAAAGGGGCTTGGGAGTTAGCGAAGCAGGACACCGAACAGTACACGAAACTCGTCAACAAAGAAGATGAAGACGAAACCGATCACGCCGAAGCCTCAGACGAGGCTGGATCCGAACAGCAGACCGATGATGACGATGACGTGGCGGGAAATTAGATAGGAACACAAAAAAGACTTGGTTGAGATCCTTGCGACGACTGGGGAATTATCTCTCCACAATAAAGGGAAAAGGGAGGGATGTATTAGAATTGAAGAAGTCGGTTGATAGGGTATTTTAGATTGCCGTACTTTGGGGATGCTTGAATGGACTCATGAGATGGGGTACCATCTACATTAAGTATTGGGCTACATTAGATACGGGGGACCTCAAAAGACTATTAGAGGGAGAAAGTTGTGTTTATGTAATGATCTCACCTTTCTTCAAAGCTGTGTGTGTTGGACAGACCAGTAGATCGATAGACGAGCGATGGAGTGAACACCAACGCGATGCAGGATCGAAACCGGTCTTCCGTGTACAAAAATGGCTCGAGAAGAAAGGATCACTATCTTACACGATGATCCCTCTGTGGTTTGGCCCAAAAAATCAACTCAGAGAAGTCGAATCTCGGATTATAAAGCAAGAGAATCCTGGCCTAAACATGTGTAAACAGAAACCTCGCTCACGGCCTCGGCGATCGAGGAAATCAAAGAAATGTAATTCAAAGAAAGAAATCAGGAATGACTTTTTGGTATTTTCCTGCGCAGATATATTAAGCACCTTCCAATATTCGATCTGATAAAGTTGTTGAAAACAATAAAACATCCGAAATGACCAATTATGATTCAGAATAACGCAGGGCGCACTTGGTTAAAATCGTGGAGGTTGATAAAATTGGTGTATGGATCGAGTAAAATTGTGATTAATGACAGGAAGATGCTATTGAAAGACGCAAAGGAAAATATCGAACAAGGAGGAGAATGGATGATTGAATGCCTTGTAAAAACCAAATCCTTTGCAGATCGTTTTAAATCTGAGATCATTTCTTTATTGCGAGCCCCGTAGAAACGAAAGGAATTAAAATTCAAGGATACTGACGTCTTATAAGATTACTTAAAAGGGATGAAATGTATCGATAATAAGAAAGGAAGACAAATCCTAAGAGGTATCGTGTCGACTGAAATCAAGCGAAGGATTGGAATCAATCCCAGAATACGGTTGGTTGTAAAATTGCCCTTCAGCGAAACGATTGACAAGAAACAAATTCGGGTCGGGATATGAGAATGGATAAGGGAAGAGATACCTAGGGAGAAACTGAGTAACCTGATGCAAAAAAAACTTCGGGTAGTCTTGACAAAATCCAGATCCGTTGCAAATATTCTGCATAATCACAAGCACGCAACAAAGAATATTGCAACGTGTGCATGTGCTGATTTCAACTTGCCCAAATTCGAAGGGCATGTTCAGGTACGACTCAACGATATCCCAGGGATTGACCCTTTTCTACACAACTCTCAAAATGTACCCACCCCCGATCGAGTAAGTGACATGACAAATGTATAGAATGCTTGCAACGAGGTCATTAACCCTTTGAAAAAAACTGGTTTAGTGAATTTACAAGACTCTGTCAGGATGAAGAGTTTGAAAGTATGTAAACCAATATCGCAAAGAAAGAGCACGGTACCGGTAGAATACGTGAAAGGAGTGAAGGCAACCCTACATGGGTTCGTCCTTTCACCCCTAGATCGTAATCATGGGGGCACATTTGTTGAATGTCCCTTGCATTATTACAAAGGGATGTTGAAGACGTTTAATGAGAATGACAAGTATGTGAAAGTCTTTGAAACCGAAACAGACATATTGAAGAGAATGAGAACGGAATATCAAACGAAAAAACTGGGAAGAATCATGAACTAGAACAGAGATGGGAAGATACAAGATTCATTTATCATGAGCAAGCATAAGGATCTGAATAAAAAACGACCAATCTGTCCGTCTTACCAAAGCCCATAAGATCTGCAAATAAAGTTCTGACGAAAGCTCTGAATCTAATGATAAAATCCACGAAAAGATAACATTTCAACATGGTTGTCACTCAAGACTTAAAACCAACCCTGGAGAAAGTAAATCAGGTTGTCAATAAGTCTTATGCAGGAAATAAGATAATCGTTCGCACTTTCGATATCAAAGAAATGTTCACAGCAATCCCGCACGAAGACATACGACAGGCGGTAAAATGGATCATGGAAGAATTCAGAGAATAGGGAAAGCATTGGGTCAGAATAAAAATACGAGGAAAAAGTGCGAAATTTGCAAAAAGCACCAGTGAGAATGGATGGAAGTCTGTCAGGTTATCAGAGCTCGAAAAACTCACAGAATTCTTATTGAAGAATGTCTCCTTCAAATCAGTCGGGGAAATACTCAAACAAAACACACGCATACCGATGGGTGGGCACGCAAGCCCCTCACTAGCATGCTTGGTTTGCATGAGTGCAGAGAACAAGTATATAAAATCCCTGGGCAGTGAGAAGAAACTAATCTGTGGGAAACGATTCATCGATGATTTATTACTCATCACATGGCACAAAAACAATGTCGAAGAAAGAGGAAAAGCAAAACAAAGAGTGCAAAGAATTACCAACTGCTATAACAATAACCTGATTTTGGAACGAACAGATGACGACACCAACGTCCTAGATTTTTTAGAAACTAAAGTCTTGGTAACATCAAACCCAGATGAAGTCTTCAGTATCCATAAGTTAAAAAATGCGGAAACAATATGGAAACTGGAAGATCATATTTTTAAGACCACACGACGAGGGGATTTCTTTTGCTCAAGAGAACAAAAAATTGCCTTTATCGTTGGGACAATGTATCGGATAAACGCAAATAAATCTGCCCCATCCACCTTACCGGTGAGCCTAATGACGCTAAGACGAGAACTGGGGCCACTTGCATACCAGACCGATATGTTTTTATGTGCTCTTAAGAAAGTCTTTAGGAGGGTGGGAGGGAAGTTATGGCATGAGATGTACCTGCTGTTCTCTGAGTTATATAGACAGAAGCCTAACTTCGACTGATGCAATTCGGGGATACACAAGAAGCGGTCATATAATGGTTTTTGATATCAGGACAGGATTGTAGCCAAGTATCTGCTGAGCTATGCAGACTAGGATGCATTACGGGATACGCTGTAAGCATGAAGTCTGGACCTACGCGAGAAGGGCAGCCAAGTACCTGCTATTCTCAGTTATACGCGAGGAAGCAGTTCAGCTCGGCGGTTTCGATCTCTGAGCAGATACGGGGACTGGGCCTTCGAAGAATCAAAAGAAAGGACAAATTGAGATATCTCATGAGCACAGCTAGTCGGATATCCAACAAACAGGTCGCGACGCAGGTGGCCAACACTTCAAAAGCCAGCACTTCGAGAGAGTACTGGTGCAGTATCAGCCTGGAAACGTGGTAACTTCGA